CTAGGACTGGGTCTGGGGGTTCCCGGAAGTCCCCAGAAATTCCTACTTGGTGGGAGGGGTGTGGAGGTACGGCAGAGTGGTAGGGGGCGGCCTGAGGGGGTGGGAGAGGGTCCGGCCCACACTGCGCCTGGGCTGGGACTGGTCCCACCGGCACAGGGTAGCAGGAAGCCCTCCACACACTCACCGGACCTGGGCTAGGACTGGGTCTGGCTAGGGTCGATTTTTAAAAAGAAAACTGATTTATTTTTCTAAGAAAACCAAAACATCCTGATAAGGTAAATTTAGAGATGCGACACATGACTTTTAGTTGCTCAAATGCTTTTAGTCTCAAATATCCATGGTTAAGGAAACACTGTTTTATTAAGAAATCTTAACATTTTCAAAGTTTTCCCAAAGTCTGGGCCATTAAAGAGCACAACCACCCAAAGCAATGCACTGGCCAGATTTCTAAACAGAAGAAAGCAAGAAAACTGGTTTCATTTGGCCACACAATGACATTTTTGGATCAGGAAACAGGAAACACTCTGGGCGTGCTTCAGCATGCAGCCACAGCATGCAGGGGAGGTGGACTCCAGCTTGCCTAGGACAGAGATTTCTCCTGTCACGCTCATCATTAGGACAGAACCAGATCTATGGCATGAGACCATGGACACGCCTCAAATGGGTTATGCCAACATGCTCACCTCAAGCTGATGGAATTGATGGTGGGGCTGCAGGGAGGTGCCTGGAGCCCCAACACCAAGCGTCCGTCCCTTGCATCCTGAGATGGTACAGCGGAAGGGGCCCCCTGAGATAGGAAGTGGCCCATGCAGGACAGTGAGTGTGCAGTGTCTCAGGCCTTCTGGCCTCCAGAACTGCAAGAATGAAGGTCTGGGTCTCTAAGCTCCCACTCTACAAAGGTTTGTTACAGCACTTACTCAGGATCTCCATCTTTAGGTTCTCAGTGATTAGAGAGCTATTCTCGGGGCCCAGACAGCCTCCTCTCAGCTTTCCTAACACATTCTGCTCCTGTGGCTGTAATTTTAGATTACAAAGACAATCCACTCACTCCTCACTCAGCACAGGGCAGCAGCCGTGAGAAGCAGAGTTCTGCTAGTGACTGTTCTGACAAAACCCAGACTCCAGCTGCGCCTCCCAGCCTGCTGGGGGGGCTTACCCTGCGCATTCTGAGCCAGGCCCAGCGTCTTCTGCACGCCCCTGCAGATCCTGGAGAGGCACGAGTGGAACTCCTCATCGCAGTCATTCTTGCTCTCGCCACAGGTCTCGTAGCACCGATCGTGCTGGTTGCAGCACTTAGTCAGAGAAGGGATGCCGACATTCAGCTGTAAGGGGCATTGGGGTGCACTGTGGTCAGTGGGATCAAAAGGCCTCGCTCAGGCACTATGCGCAAACGGCCTTACAGAAACTCATGACAGTGCCGCCTGGGAAACCCCAAAGGCTGCTTCTGCCTGCAAATGTCCCCATGTCAGATGGCTCCCCATATCTCTTTTTTTGAGACAGGGTTTCACTAGGAAGTTCAGGCTGTCCTGAACTCAGCAGGTACAGCTGGCCTTGCTCTCAAGGAAAGCCTCTGCCTCAGCCTCCCAAGTGTTGGGATTACCACGCCCAGCTAAGTTTCCCCAGCACTCCTACCACACCTGCCTGTGACTATCACTTCCCTGCTTACTTTTCCCTACTGTGCAGTGCAAGATGCTCAATTATTTGTCAGTAACAAATGCACAACCAATTTTCCAAACACATAACATACTGTTGTTTCAAAAACAGATAAAACTAAAATCATCCAAAGGGTTATTATGATTTTTGCATATTTCACAATGTTCTGTACCCTTCTCCCAAATACCATGAGCTTTATGTGAAACACCACACGAAGGTACTAAGCATCCACAACTCAAACCTGTTCTCTGCATTTCGGCCTTCACTACTTATTCATTCTCTAAAAGATACCACTGTTTCGAATCCGTAACTTCCTTCACCTCTCCTTAATACAGAAAATATGCTTATCTTGGCTTTTCTCCCCTAGGTAGTATTACTTCTACACTTTAAACTTATACTTTAAACTTATACTGCGCTCTGGACATAATGAAATATAATTTAAATATAAAACCTTAATATTATCCCATTTTTCTGGGAGTTATTAAACGTTTTACAAAAAAAGCAGCAGGGGGCTGGGGAGATACCTTGGTTGGTGGTCTAAGTGCCTGCCTGGCAAGCACAAGACCCAAGTTCAATCCCTGGTACTACATGTCACATTGGCCCTGGAACCCCAGGCACAACATGCCCGCTCCAAAACCAGGCATAGCAGCACATGCCTATAATTCCAGCGCTGGGGAGGCTGAGACAGGAGGTTCAGCCATGAGGCTGAACTGTGTAGTGAGACCCTGTGTCCAATATATAAGTAAATAAATGTGGGGGAAAAAAGCAAGCATCAAACCCAATCACTATTATAACAGGCAACACTGTGAAGCTGAGCACACATTCAATCCTGCGTTACTGACAGCCTCAGCCAGGAAAGTCAGCAGATAAAACCCAGTATTTACGTGAACGCCGAACAGTGGAGAGCCACATCCGTTGGGGGGGGAGGGCTTATACCCATAGCGTGGAAAAGGCTTCGATCCTGTAAAATATAAATGGTGTCAAAATTAATTTTCAAATGCAACAGAAATAAAATACTCAAATCTAAATGTAGTACACTAGTCTTGGACATATTTAATATGCAGTTGGATGGTAACACAAGTTGTGCTTTTTGTTTTGTTTCTATAGTTCCAGTGCTTGAACCCAGGGCTTCCTGCACGTAAGGTAAGCCTTGGGCCATGGAGCTACATCCCCCACCTGTTTTTATTTTATTTTTCATTTTTATTAGTGCACAGATACAGCACGAGTGAGCACATTCCTTGTGCAGACTCGGAACAGGTACACAGCACAGCCCAATTCTTTGCATGCCTCCTTCCCCTCCCACCTCCATTTCTTGGTCCCCTTCTCATTTGGAAATGATCTATTTCCTGTTTGCTTTTATTGGTATTTTATTTTGCTCTTTAATTTATTTGGACTTTGGGTTTCTCACACAAAAGAAGTCATGCCACATTTCAGCTCGTGTGTCTGACTCTTCCCCTCACAGTTCGGTCGCACAGTGCAGCCATTTTCCCACAGCTGACTCAGGTCCATGCTCTCAGCAGAGCAGCACTCCACTGTGTGCAAAGACCATGTTTTCCACGTTATCCACTCACCTCCTGATGGGCACATGGGCCTCTTTCAAGACTCAGTTATTATGGGTTGTACTGCTCTAAGCAGGCATCTAAGTTGCCCTGGCTGTCACTAAATTTGCAACTGTCCTGCCTCAGTCCTTAAGTAACTGCAATTATGGACATGCACCCCCATGTCCAACTTGTGACTGCCCTTATTTTGAGAGCACTGGGTATGTAATTTATCTAATTATTGCCTAATTTGTCTATTTCTCCTGTGGCAAAAAATGTGCAATACATACTAATGTGCACATATACACAGCAGTTCGTCCAATGTAATTATTATGCATAACCCTATTCTGCCCAAAACATAGAGAAGCTTATCCTGGACTTGCAGTGACTCCAAAGTTACACGCCAGATACAGCTAATTAAGAGACCAGCAGCACCTGGTCTCTGGTTGCTCCGCAACGCTCCACTCCCCAGTGGCACCCATGGTTCAGTGAGGAGAAGAAAAATGATGCCAATGTTGCAATCCTCCATTCTAGAGGGAACTTCAAAAATACCTCACCCACGTAATGCAGAATCGCTTCAACACCCCAGTGCCCTCCTATCTCTCTGGATGTGGCCCACAGTCCTGCATCAAGTAGCAGCCTGTTCCACTGTGGGACACTACCAGCTGTCAAGATGCTCTCTCTCTTCAGCTGCTAAGCAATGCTCTGCCCCTTAAGGCAACACAAAATAAGCCCGCTCTCTACCTGATAGGCCTTTCAAACAGCTGGGGACACCATCTGTCTTTATTCTAAAAATAAAATGTTCTCCTGATTTCAGATATAACTATAGTATAGTTTCCAAAGAACACCCCACATTGGACAGGTAAGAGACACATAGTATTTCATGAATTTTCATCCAAACAATAGTGCTGTCAGACTGCAATTAAAACAGGCCACCCTCTAAAAGAGGGAAAAAAAGCAACTCAGAGTACTCAGTCATCAAAATAGGTAATGAAGTCCAAGGAATGATGGAAAATGGTCTCAGTGAGTGGCAGAGAAATTCCCCAGGCAGCTGAGCTGACGGAGACACACCCAAATCTGACCGCAAGGTGAGCAGAGCCGAGGCTGCTCCCCTGTCCTGGAGGAAATATACGATATGCTAGCGAATGATGCTAGAGGGGGCCTGGTTTCCAAGAAGTGTTATTTTTGGGACTTTCAAGATAAGCAAATGCTTTAGGCTATCACAGATTCTGTGAGCCTTCAAGTCTGCTTAAGAATTTTCATGTTCATTGGTCCATGTTTGCAAGGTAATACTCTTTGAGGGGAGTCACACTTTAATTTTTTCTGTCTCCTTCCAACTATTGCTTTTTTTTTTTTTTGTACCAGGAATCAAACTCAGGGCCTCACGCCTGCCAGGCAGATGCTGTGCCGCTGAGCTACATCCCCAGCCCTCCATCTACTGCTCTCAGTTCTGCGTTCCTAAGGAACAGTCCAGGGTTAAGCTTCCCACCTGCACAGCCATAGAAGGGAACACACCAAGCTCCTGGCGCTTTGCCATCCCTCACCTCACACCCGCTTTTCTCAGCAACAACTCCCCCGTTCCAGGTGCTATAAGCAAACATCTCCGCCCTTAACTAATCTCCTACTCTCCATTCTGCCCATCGGCACTTCCTGTTGCCTCTGCCTTCCCGAGCTCCACGACAGAATGCTCCTTGCCAGCCAACTTCGAACTGATCTGCCCAGTCTGGTTCCCCTAGCCACGCCACTCCCAGACACAGTCCCACTCAACTGAACCTGAGTGCGTGCTCTCAATTATACACAAGATCAGGGCTTTCTTCTACTCCAAATCCCTCTTTGCAGGCCTTGGCCCCTCTTCTTACTCAGAATAAAGCCAAGGCCTGCAAAAGCAATGTGTTTCTGAGACTTCTCAAGCCTCTTCTCTTAAGCACAGTTTCTTCCCTTCTGTCACATCAGGCCCTTTGCTGGTTCCCAGACAATCCTGATCTCTTCTAGCCTCAGACCCCATCCCCGTGGACACTCCTCCTCCTCCTCCTGACACCTGTGTCACCGTTCCTCCATCTCCATCCTCCATCAGAGCTGTAAGGGTAGGTCTCTGCAGCCCAGAGATAAGGGGAAACTTAATCAGCAGAGCAGAGCTGAGCTATCAGGCGGTGTGGCTGCGGAAGGGTGAGCCGGTCACCAGGGGGACCCTCACGAGTGGAAGTGTTGCAGGCAGCTGAATTAGATATAAATTTTATAGGCAGTCAGACAGGGCCAGGCCCTCAAAGAGACAAGGTGGAAGACAAGGTGACTTTGCAACTTGGAAGAGACAGACACTCCCTATGGGCCAGACTTCAAGACAAAAGAGGAAACAAATACAGCTACATACTTCCCTAGGGATGGGCATCAGGGATTGATATTCTAAATAAGTATCAATCACCTTGAAAGAGCCCAAATGAATCATTAGCCCAATGCCCAACAGAAAGAGACTCTGTCCCGTATTCATGCCCACTTGCTACATGACTTGTTTCCTCATTTGGTACTGGATTTAATCAATTCTACCTGAGCAATGGTGCTTGTAATCTCATTGGTTGACCATAGTTTTGTCCCACATCATGCCCACCTAAGCGAGTTCCCATGTTCTCTACCACCTTAGACCTGCCTCACCGCATGGTTTTACTCTATAAAAGTCCCTGGAGGAGACAGCTTCCTGGGGACAACCTGCTCTGGGCCCCCTCCTATCCCTTTCTCAGACAGGACCTTTCTCCCCCGCCCATAAATACATTCTGCTCATAACCTCCATTTGTTCCTAAAATTCATTTTTCAGTTTTAGAGAACACAAACTTGTCCTAGGTACTTTTCAGCTGAGGAGCTTCATTTTTCTCATGTATCATTTAGAGCTCATCCACCCCAGATCTGTTTGTTCCCTGTATCAGAATGAGGGCCTTTAACTAGGAAGCCCGAAAGATGCCTGGCCCACCCACCACAAACACACAGCAAGGGGACTGCACCAATGAACAAGAATGTGGGCCCTCACTGGACACCAAATTGGGTCTACACTTTCCAGGATCTGGAGCCTCAAGGGAGAAATTCCTTTTGCTTGTAAGCCACCAGTATATGGCATTTTGTGATAGCAAACAGACTAAGACTTTCATGTTTTCACAATACTTTTCCTCACTGTACCATTTGTAACATGTATGACTCTTAACATATAATAATATATGCAGATATTTCCTTATTTCATAAAAAAGTCATTACTTTTGAATAGGAGAATGATCAGAAGCAAGTGAACTTAGGAACAACTGACAAATGTACCCACTCCAGAAGAAGGCAATTTTGGGACAACACAGGGAAGCTACTGAAGAAGGCTGCTGCCCCCACCAGGGACAGTGCTCATAACCGTCCTATGGAGAGAAGCCAGGAAGACTGCGTAGTACAGCTCTAATCCCTTCTGCATGTGAGCCACTGCACAGCAACACAGAATGAATGCGGTACAGCTGGCCCCTTAGCGTGGCTGGGAAAGGGACACTGTGTTGTTGGAAGCAACCTGTTCATGCTACTGACTCAGAAAACCTTTCCGGCTCACCCCTTGTGAAACAGCACACCCCGTCCACATTCACTCATAGCAGGGTTCCTTTTATTTTTTCCCCCTAGCATATATGACCAAACAGCGTAAGAGGAGGTTTCTATGTGAGTAAGAATGTTGTTTTGCTTATCTAGAATATGCCTGGCACATACTGACCACCCAAGATTACTGGACTGAAACATGAGGAAAAGGCTGTGCTCAAGTTATACCTTATCCACATGAAACACAAAGTGGAAGCAAGCATCCTCCTCAAACTTTGTATTTTTTCAGTATTAGGGCTTGAACCTTGGGCCTTTCCATTAAGCTACATCCCAGACTACACAATTTATCTAAAAAATGTACATTTTAGGAAAAAAAAATAGTAAGATGCTTTTTCAAAAGATGGCGCTACTCTCACATGGCAGACCCTAGAGGATGTCATGTATCACAGAAAACCCACCACACTACTAGCCTTAGGGAAATAGTGGCCAATGCTCGTGCAGCAGTCTCAGTGACCACGTCACCCAAGCGGCAGTTCGCTGCACTACTAAACATCTGGACGCTACTGCACCACTTGGCGTACCTCTTGTAATTGTAGAGGACAAGGATAACTTGCATTAATTTCACAATATCGTAATAAATTTAGTACTAAAATATTTACATAAGCTTTTCTTTTCCTGAGGTGTGTTTACACCTCTTGCCCCCTCCCTATATGTATATGATTTTTTTTCTCCTTTGAGATGGTTTTGCTAAGCTACCCAGTTTGGCTTGGCCTTGCCTGACTTGACCTCCCATGCTACAGGAATTATACTGTGCCCAGCTTCCTGACACATTTTATTGTCTTGAAGTTCTAAGTTTACCTTTACATTAAAATAACTA